CCACATATTAAACTGTTTTACCACTACTTTAAGCATGTTTCAACTAAATAACTTCAGAGAGGATATTATTCAAGGCAAGTTAAAATACACTTTAATGTGTAACAAGTTTAACAAAACAAATTAATACCTACCCATCCCTAATAAATTATTGCTATATTAACTTTCTGTGTATGTGTGGGAAGTCAATAGCTTGCTATTTGCAATCAATCAGAACAAAAACTAATCTCAATCATTTACAGTTAGGAAACTATAAAATTATCAGTAAATAGTAGTATAGTATATAACAAAAAATGACTTCACATATACTATCAAGATCTAAACTTTGTAATGAAGCATAGTTTAAAACACTAATTATATAGTTCAGAGAAAATTTAATGTTTTAGATGTACAGTTAGGTGAGATCATCCTCCTATTTCAATGACCCCCGGGCTCAGGGCAAATGTCCCAAAACAGTCAATGACTCAACAACGTTTATATGTTGTAAACAGAAATAAAAAACCTTTGTAGTCTTTTATTTTCTTTTTATATCGAAAGTTTTTTGGTTCATAGAATCCTATAGAAATTAACATAACGAATTATTCAAGGTTTGGTGAATTGTCAACGTTTGCCCAATTTATTTAAAAAGAAACGAGAGCACAAAATTGAAAACATAACATAACCTATACAATTATCTTTATTATTGCAACGGCAACCTATTTTATTGTAATCTAAGATCTCCTAAAATCATACAACACGAATCATGTTCCAGATCATAATAATCCACCTTAATTGACGATGTTTACTTCTATATATTAATTAAATGGTAAAAATACATGACGTGTCGAGGCACGAACTTTCACAAAGTTTTTAATTTAAAACCTACAGTTGACGTCCGTCTCAGAGAACCTATCTAAACTTTAATTTTAAATTTACTTACCAGTCCATCGCACTGAACATATTGGATCGTCGCTTCATTTTCAGGAGCGCGTCTAGCTGAACCAGCACGGCTCGCCATTTTTAATTCACAAGAGAACGTTTGATTTGATTACATTTTAGTGTAGCTCTCCAAATCGACTATCAATAGCTATCGATAATTGTAATCGATACCTTATTTGCAATCGACACTATACGACAGATTAGCCTTTAAAAATACTACCACGAATATCACATCTCGATTAAACTTAAACACTGTTGGAACTATATACCAGTTTTTAAAAATTTCTAGGTTTTAAAAAGAGTAGGTATACGAAGACATACACACGCTAATGAGATTAATATTACGGTTTTACATAACAATAAAACCGATATTATGTGCCGAGAAGGAAAACATACAGCATTGTATTATGAAGACGTGTTTGTTATCTGCTGGTGAAATTATTAAGCACAACGCTATGATGAAATAGGTAAAGCCATAATAAAATTATGAAGCGCAATGATAATGTTCATAATTTATATAATTATTAAATCGAAAAAACAGTTGTTAACTTCCACGTTAATTCAATAATTAAAAAATATTTATAAGTTNCTTGCGACTTCACAGTACGAAAGTACACAACGCTATGAAGATCAAAGATGGCTGCGCTCCCTTTATACTTGCTGGCAGCACCTAGCGGCTAAAGATGGAACTAAATTGACGGTCTATGGTTGGACATAGACAAGGAATCTAAGCTAAGTACACACTGCTTCTTCATAATACAATGCTGTATGTTTTCCAAAGGCACATCAATATAGTAGTTTTTATATCCCAGTTACAATGCAATAAATAAGTGCCGTAATTTTGCGTATTGTACTATGGATCACAATGATAGTAAATCCTAATGTTTACGGTATAAATGTAAAACAATTAATGCATTATGATCTTGTAAATATTCTTGAACAAATCCATTTTTAGTAATGATAAAAATTAAAGTTTAAAAGATTTTTTATTTATTTGATAAATCTCAAATGTTGTTCAATCTTTTTCTATTATCCATGTATAAATTGTATTACATTCTTACAGATTTTGAATTAAAAAAAATACTATAAAGTTAAGTGATATGGCTCGAATTACACTTATAGACGTGAGGTCTCATTATTTGCTTTAATAAGGAAGTGGTATCAATTCGCGTTATCGCTGTATTTATATTTTACCGTTCGTCAATTCAATTAATCGTTTATTTATTAGGTTGTACCTTATGGAACATTTTGTTAACTTACGACTTTTGCTTAAGACTTTCGCTCTACAAAGCACAGGTCCGGCCTCGTGTGGAGTACTACTCCGACCTCTGGGCCGGGCTCCCAAAAACCAGCTACTTCCATTTGACTCTATACAGAAGAGAGCCGTTCGGGGGCTCCCAAATACCAGCTTCTTCCATTTGACTCCATACAGAGGAGGGCCGTTCGGATTGTCGATAATCCCATTCTCACGGATCGTTTGGAACCTCTGTGTCTGCGGAGGGACTTGGGTTCACTCTGTTATTTTGCACCTATGTTCCATGGGGAGTGCTCTAAGGAATTGTTAGACATGAAACCATCATCTCGTTTTTACCATCACACCGCCCGCCACCGGAATAGAGTTCATCCATATTTCCGGAAACTACTGCGGTCATCCACAGGGCGTTTCCAGAGATCTTTTTGCCACGTACCGTCCGGCTTTGGAATAAGCTCCCCTCCACGGTGTTTCCCGACAACTATAACAACGCCTTCTTCAAACGAAGCTTGTGGAGAGTATAAACTGGTTGGCAGCGGCCTGGCTCTGCCCCTGGCTCTATCCATGGACGACAGTAACCACTCACCATCACATGGGCCGTGTGCTCGTCTACCTACAAGGGCAATAAAAAAAACAAAGCTTAGAACCATGTGGCGAAAAAATTTGTTCCTGTTGTGCAGAATTGATTATTTCAAAGCTTAAAACGAATCTTTTACTAATTAATTTTCTATTGTTTTGCTTGGCTCGATGAGTAAATTTTACCCTACAGACACAGCCCACTGAGTTTCTCACCGAATCTTCTCAGTGGGTCGCATTTCCGATCCGGTGGTAGATTCTGCGAAGCACGGCTCTTGCTAGGATTCATGTTAGCAACGTCGTTAGGTTTGAGCCCCTTGAGCTCACCTACTAGTTAAGGTTACGCTGATATGGTCTCACTAGAGGCTAGACCATCAGCTTAGGTAGGAAAAAAAAAGAGATCGTTTAGAGCCTAGCTACCGGGCAATTATAGCAGCTCCGTGGAAGATCTGCCCTATAACGTTACCCACAAAGATTATACAGACAGAAAATACAATAATAACAATTACAGTTTTAATACCTATTAAATGTATTATCTGTATTCACAGCAGTACACATACCTAATTTTATTCGTGAATGCAATTTTGCTTAAAGGTATCGTTACCAGGCCATAAAATCTAAAAAAAAAGGATACAATTACATATCTCAATACATAAATATATGTATGTACCGTACAATGGGGTAAATAGGGACAAAATCGACCTTCAGATTGAATTTTAAAATAGTTCCAATTAAATAGTCACTGCTCAACCAAAGAAATAAGTTGAGTCTTGAACGTACCTAGGTGATAAAAACCGTTACATAATTTTAATTATTCATTTTAAAGAAATAATCGGTAAAATAATGGCCGTCCCAATTTACCCAGCGTCCGGGGTAAATTGACACGGTTAAGGGTTAAATTGGGATATTTGTAAGGGTTGTCAACTCGCAGTACTGCGATATATAGGTAGGTGCCATATAATTATTTATATGGACCGAAATGATGAATACAATCCATAATTTAAGCACAATACACAACATAGTGTAAATTAAGCTGGTTTCTATTCCGAAGCGATGTGACGTGAATGATAATCAACAATACAATGATCAAAAAAAGTATGTGCATGTTATATTTTAGAAAATTATTATTTAATTTCCTTAAAAATCACAACTCTGAAACAAAATCATAAAATAGAATAAAAAATAGAAAACAAAAGGACTGGAAATGCAATAATACAATTTTATTTAATCAACATTTTCAAAATAATCTTTGAGCAAGAGTAAGATATCAGGTGAATAAGATAAAAAAACAGCTTTATCTGATTACTGCCAATAATAACAAAAATAAAAGAAATTCTTTCTAAGCTAAATAACTAAACTCAATTAATTCACTCACTCATAATTGGATATCTCGGATTTTTAATTAATGTTACATTTAAAATCTGAGGCCTGTTTTTATTTGTGTGTGCGTTTTGAATGTTAACAAAATCATGATTCGACGCGTGAATAGATTCTGAAATAACAAAAGTTTTGATTCGTTTGAGTTCTTTTAACTTTTAATTTTTTTTATTGCTATAAAGAACATACGACCGGGCAGATATTACAAGGTAAATGTCGCGAAAAAAAAGTAATTATATATATACTTTTCTTTTACCTATAATACTTACATAAACTAACTGATAAACACATTAACCTTCTTTACATCACGCAATTAAGTGATAGTATAGGCTAAAAAATCTATTATAAGATATCAGTGACAACCCTAACAAGCCATCCCTATTTTGTCTTTTGGCGTTCCAATTTTGTGTTTTCTCGTCCCTAATTTTTCCAGTCTCGTTCCCAATTACCCTACATACGTCCCAATTTTCCCCAAAAAGAAAGGAAAAAATATACATTTTTTATTTTGTCGAAATATTGTATTTAAAATAAGAATATTGCAACTTACCGTTTGTTGTGGTATTTCCAGGTGTATTAAAAACTTATATAAACTGTGATCTTATTGAAAAAACAACGATAATATTACTTTTTTTAAAAGTTCTTTAAGCTGTTTTAAAACGCACTTTTCAACCACTATTTTCAATTTAATTTGACGAATTTTTGGGACCAACTTAACTCATATTTAGTACTTCCATAGTTAACTTGGTTTTTCTTCTATACATTGATAAATATTAACATAAACAAAATTAGGTAGATTCCGTGCTACAGGTACTTTGAGAATCTTCCGCAGGTTTGTCCCAATTTACCCCAGGATCCCAATTTACCCCATGTCATGGTACATAGTGTAATCAAAATCGTTTTTAATTACTTTATCCATAAATGTTGTGGAAATTTTGCTTGAAGTCATTAATATCTATGATGTTGTGGCAATTCAAAATGTTTTGGCATCATAAACTTATTTTTGATTCTAAAAATACTTTGGCTCTGTGATCTGTTTCGTTCATTAAATTGAGTTTTGTTAATTAAATTAGTGTTAAACAAACACCTACTTATCAATTTAAGAAAACTTGATTAAATAATGAGTCAGCATAAGTTTTGGAAAGGAGTGACTCCCCTAAACGTGCCGACGTCTCAACAAGTACCTGATAAAGTTGTTAAATTGTGCTCATTAGATACAAATTTTATTGTGTTAGGAAACGACCATGGCATCTATTATTGCGAAAATGCAGACGATTCTTTGAATTTTAAAAGGGTGAGCGGTATTTCAGCACTGGACATATCATATCATAATGGCATACTATATATCATAGACACGCACGGGCGCCTATTTAAAACAAATTGTAGCTTTAAAAATAAAGAAGAAATTGTAGTAAAGGAAGACTCTAAATGCTGCCCCCACGGGTTCAGGAGCTCAAGTTACAAAGTCAAATTTCGGACTGTTGTAGCTAATGATTTTGGTCAACTATTTATTAGTAGTGATGGGCAGTTATGGGGCTCTGGAGCTATGCCCCAAATATCACTAGATTCTAATAGTATTAAGAAGATACCGTTCTTTGAAGGAAGAACTGTATACAGTGCCTCCATTGGTCAAAACTTTGCTGCTGTGATAGCAAGGAAAAATGTTAAACAGTCTGATAACTGCGATACAGACAGTGAAAATGATGAAGAAGAAGTGTTCGCAACTAATTGTTCACAGTGCCAGACTATCATAGGCCTTGCATCTCCTGCATCTGTGCCGTCCTTTTCTGAAACCTGTCCATTAGGTGTTCATATAAGTAAATCAAGTGAAGACTCAAGTAGTACTACTGCTCCACCTACAGATTTTCATATTGATGCTTACAGTTATACTGAAGATTCTAGTCCCTCTTCGGAGGAATCAAAAATAGCACAAAACATTATACAAACTACTGAAACATTAACTGAAAGAAAATGTGATACATTAATTAATACAGAAAATGGTGATGGCTCAGATAAAGATAGTGATACAACTGAAGCCGATGCAGAAAAGATTAATAATATATTCATGAATGCTGATGCGGCTAGACAGTTTTTAAGTCGACAATTATCATGGGTGTCAGCTGGTGAAGATTATTTAGTGGAATATACAGAAAAACCTACAAGAATCATAAAAGAGAATGTTTCAAATCTCACTAATTTTGTCTATGAAGGTGTTAAAACTGTAGGTGATAAAGTTGCAACACTTTCGAGGCATGTCAGTGGTAGTAGCGAAAACAATGAGACAGTAGAACAACTATCAAGAAATCAGAACGAAGAAACCAAGTCCCTCATGTACAGCTGCACTTCAAACTGTAATGTAGATGATCTGCAGTTTTCCACCAGCACTATTAGTAGTGAAAAAGAGTTTGAAGAAGCCAGAAAAAAAGAGACTATTAAGAACATGTCTAAACTAGGAAGGAATATTTTAGCTACAGAATTATGGACTTGGGGTGACATAAGTTATGGACAGTTAGGAATTGGTGACACAGTCAAAAGGGTTAAACCAATGATTGTCATGAGTTTATCGGGGTTTGGGCTACAAAAAGTTTCTTGTGGGAGTTTGCATTGTTCTACTCTCACGCTCGATGGACGAATGTTTGCTTGGGGATACAATCATTACCATCAATTAAGCTTCGGTTCAAGAGAAGATAAAAGTGGACCACAACAATTTACAGAAAACTCAGAGAGCGATAGAATTAGGGATGTCATTGCTGCTGATCATCATACTCTAGTCTACACGCACAATGAGAATATATTATACATGGGCAAACACACAGATGGTTTCACAGAATCCGTTGTGAATTTAAATCCTAGTTTGTTAGAGGAAGATAGTGAGAAATCTCCAAGCATGGTGACTATAAAAATTACAGAGCCACAACACCATACAAGTAAACCCCAAAATCTGTGCTATCACTGGAGAATCTTATCTTCAGGTAATATTAGTTATTGCTCAGTAGAAAACTCAAAGAAAAATCCACAGTTCCAAGACTTATCTATTGCTCAAAGATATCTAGAAGAAATGTTACTGATTTATCAAAATCTTATTAAGGTTTTTTTGAAGAAAAGTAAAGCAATTACTGCACATTCCAATGTTTATGAAACAGTATGTGATATTTTTGGTGACATATTGAATGTTACAGCTTTAAACGTATTATCAGTGTGGCAGTATGCAGAAAAACATATAAATGAATGTGATATATCATTGATTAAAAATTTTGAAGAGTTTATTTTTTTGTATAGAAAGTATTATGTAGCTGTAAGCAATTTAATTGTTATTGGTGGTTTCACCCAAATCAATAGTGTTATTGATGTCCCAACGAGTATTTATAATTTATTTAGTGATCAACTTCCTTCGAACAAACAGAAAAATAGTAAAAAGACATCAGAAGCCATAATAGGTCTTGCCTTTGTGCAACCATTAACAAGATTAAGTTCATACAAATGTATAGCTCAATCTATATTGAGACATAAAACCAAGAGAAAAAAAGGCGAAATTGTATTAAAGATTGAAGAAAGATTAAATAAAGTTGTTTCATCATTTGATTCATTAATAGAAGAGCAAGAAAAAAAACGTAAAGAAGCGGAAGTTACGAAACTATTTTGGGAAACAGTTGGTAAAAGTTTGGAGCAATATAGAGCTTCAGAACGACGATTAATAAGAGAATCAAAATCTCGACCTCTAAATCTAGTCAATCCTGGAAGATTTTCATCACATTGGTTCATTTTATTTAATGACATATTTGTTCATGTTAGTGGTAGCTCACCTAGTGTGCACCCCCTTCAAACCCTGTGGGTCGAGTCTGTCATACATTCTGATCCATCACAATACATAATCCAACTTACTACTCCAGAAGAAGTTATATCAGTGTCAACAGTTACAGAGCAAGAGAAAACTGAATGGATACAAGCTCTGAATAATTCCATACGAATAATTTTGAACAAAGAATCCGTATTTAAACTACCCTCAATAAGATCAGCAAGTTATACATTCTCAAGTAAAAGCACATTTTTTAAAGATTCGAAATACATTGGTAGATGGTTAGATGGTAAAGTACATGGAAACGGTAAAGTAGAATGGTCAGATGGCAAGCAGTACATTGGACAATTTCAACTAAATACTCTATGTGGCCATGGAAAAATGGAAATACCTGGTGTAGGTAAGGAATACAAATAATATGAATTATCAAATATTTTTTACCTACACTTTTATTACAATCTTTAAATTAATTTCAGGGATTTATGAAGGTCAGTGGAAAGATAACTTACAGAATGGCTACGGTAAAATGAAGTATTGCTCGGGTGACATATATGAGGGATATTTTAAAGACGGTCAGCCTCATGGACATGGTATTAAAAAGCAAGGAGATTTCACATCTTCATCTGCAACTATTTACACTGGAGAATGGGTTAACGGGGCAAGACAAGGCTACGGTGTCATGGACGACATTGGAAAAGGAGAAAAATATTTAGGAAATTGGAGTGACAACAAGAAACACGGATGTGGGTTGATCGTGACTTTGGATGGAATATATTACGAAGGTTTATTTACGCAAGATGTGTTGACGGTGAGTGCCTGTATATGTATTAAAATATTTAACATACAAACACAAATATTGTCTCCAGTAATACATTCTTTCACAAGGCCACAATAGTCTTAAGTAAATTTGTAAATTTTTGTGATTACAATAAAATTGTTTTGTTTATTTTCTGATAATTAGTAAAACTTTTAGGGTCACGGGGTTATGGTGTTTGAAGACGGTACACATTACGAAGGCGAATTCAGATCTGCTGGTGTATTTTCTGGTAAAGGAGTTCTCACATTTTCTAGTGGGGATAAGATAGAAGGTTCATTGAGCGGGGCTTGGACTGAGGGAGTTAAAATATCGAATGCCACCATGCATATGAACGTATCGAATCCTGTGTTGCCAGCTAATCCCAAACCTAAGTATGTTATTAAAACTATTTACAACAAAATATAAATGAAAGAAAAGTATGTTAAGTGTAAAAAAAGTTTAGCAGTTATATTAAATCTTCGAGCTTTTTGCTATTATTGCATTAAATTATTTGCTGTTCATAAATCACACATTAAAAAAAAACATAAATAAACCTAATAGATTCTTATTATTTTCTAAATTAATTAATATTATTACGAATTGTTTTAAACTTTCTTCAGTATGTACTACATTATACACGAGTTTGACATTCGACTGGTTCTTATAACGAAATTCACTCTCAATGAGTTCCTGATATTTCACGCGTTGTTGCGAGTGCCGTGATCACGGATTGACTGAAGATGACGGGTGAGATGTTAGAAGCAGACAAATCTGTCTATCCTCTTTCCAGTCCGTTTTCGTGTTATCCGTTAAACCCTCATAGACACAACACTTTTTTTTTATATATATATATAATAAATAAATAAATATTTACTAACAATCACGCCACCTTAACTGGTCCCGTGCTAAGTTCGTAAAGAACTTGTGTTGCAGGTACCAGATAACGGAAATAAATGTAAGATACTATTATACACATACATATTATGTTTAATATTTAATATACATCCATAACCCTGGAAAAGACATTTATATTTATCATAGAAATACCTTCCCTTGGCGGGATTCGAACCTGCGACGCCCTTGTGTAGTGACCATGTCACTTACCGCTACACCAGATGGCCGTTAGGGTCGCGATTCTAATCCGGCTCTCTTACTAGGGCAGATGTTGGCAAATTCTCCCGGATTCTGCCCCTTGAGCTCGCCCTCTAGTCAAGGTTAAGCCAGAATAGCCCGACGCAAATGCAAATTGAATATCGTGTTTTCCTTACAGTTCGTTCGGAAAATTAAGCGTAGCACCAAACCAGAAATGGAACGCTCTATTCCGCCAGTGCTTCCAATGCTTGGGTATATCAGACGCGGTGCTAACACCCACCGGTAATCATTTTGCCCACGGGCCATCGGGTCCAACGGTGGACAACGTGAAGATATGGCAAAACGTTGCAGTAGCGATATCCTCTTCCCATAAAGAGGGAATGAAAACGAGCCTTAAAAGGAATAAAAGCACTGATCTTGAAAAGTCTGTGGATTGTTTGGAAGTCATACCAAAGTTTGGACAAGATACTTTGAATTTAGACGAATATACGGAATTGAAGCAGTATTTGTACAATGTAAGTTCAATTTTGTTACACTAGATGGTTATGTCATCAGTGACTTCACCTGAGTGGCCCATTCCAATCTCATAGGAGACTAGCTGTACCCGCCCGCTTCGCTGAGCATTTAAAATTAACATTATTATTTCTCACCCCCACGAAGATTCTCATCATTAACGCCCCCGCAACTGGTGTAGGGAGTCCAACACTCATAAATATTAGCCTATCCATTAATTACATGTATTTCTATTCAATATATTCTATTTATACAAATCTATACTCCTGTTTCTTCCCCGGATAGTGATGCTAGAGCAAATAGTTTATACCGTACTATTTTTTAATGTGTCACACTCTTTGGATTGGAAGCCTCTCTGATGCCCACAAAACATTTTAAGAGTAAAACGTTATAATGGAATTTTTCAACATGATGTTCATTCACAATTTTCTCACGTGTCAAAAACTGATTACTGTAAAAAAATCTTATTTACGTTATCCCAAAAACTTTACCAAGATCAGCAAGAAATATAAAGAAAAGACAATTGTGACTAATGTTTTTTTGTCTATGGACTCTGGTAGTTTAATAACATCGGGAAGTATAAAAATCATCTGACTATCCAACCAAACTAATAAAATTTTAAATTTTATTAAAAATTGAAATGTTCAGAATTCGTTCATTGATTAATTTGGTAATTTTGAAATACCAACAGGCTTGCGAGTCCTCTCACCATCCGCTGGGGCAGCTGGTTCTGGGCTTGACGAACGCATTCAACACGACGTACGGAGGCGTCCGTGTACATCCGCTACTGCTCAGTCACGCGGTCAAAGAACTCAAAAGTATAACCGCGAGGCTCTACCAAGTGGTCAGGCTGCTGTTCCCAGCCTTACCCTCAGAGAATGCCGATCTAGTCTTGCCGTATAAAAACCAGGAGAACGATGATGAAGTTGAAAACGATAGCAATCCTATTCACGGGTGAGTTATATGGAATAAGGGGGTACCGGTCATCGTTCTCGTCGAACCCGTCGCTAACGACGAAGGGCTCGACGAGTAAATTAACCCACAGACACAGCCCACTGAGTTTCTCACCGGATATTCTCAGTGGGTCGCGTTTCCGGTCCGGTGGTAGATTCTGCGAAGCACGGCTCTTGCTAGGGTTCGTGTTAGCAACCTCATCAGATTTGAGCTCCGTGAGCTCACCTACTAGTTAAGGCGACGCTGTTATAGCCTCTCAAGGCTATCAGCTTAGGTAGGAAAAAAAATGGAATAAGTTGAGACACCACATCCGGTGATTCTGTTTCGTTTACCCCACCTTAGTCAACTTTAATAGATTCCAAATGTTGAGTAAACCACTATAGGGTGCGTTCCACTAAGCGTTCACAACGATCATGCTCACGACCGCAATTTTTACCGTTCCACTTGCTTGAGAGCGTTCCTGTTGTAAACTCAAGTGGATTGGGTTATAGAGCGTATTGAACGTGGAGGTAAATAATACAAACGGCAAGTTAATAAAAATATTTAAGAGGTTAGGTTATAATCTGTAAGCTTTGAAAATAAACTTAATTAATTATTGATTAAATCGATTTATATTGAAAAAAAAAAATTTTTTTTTATTAGTGGTGTATTTAATTAATTTACGTTCAAATGTAATTAAAATGTCTTTTGCGGTGGCACTTGGATATTTGGTTAGAGGTCGCATTAATGCTCCAGATAGTATCTCTTTCCGCATGAAATAACGTAAGCTTAAAGGTCGCCATTTTTGATGCTTTGAGTTTTGAAAACGCCACTAATTTTTTCAACGATCACTTCGACCCACCTTTTTAGATGGGTCGTCGTGAGCTTCGCGTGAGCGTAAGTCATGACGTCATAAGTGACGTTTCCGCCGCGACCACAACGACCGCGGTCGTTTTGTGGAACGACTAAAGAGCATTTTGATCGTTGTGGGCGCTTAGTGAACCGCACCCATTATTGCACGTTTGAACCTAAAGAAACGATAAATTAAGAAAATCGTTTTTTTAAGGGATTTTATGACCTGGTTACTAAGACCTTTAAGTCATGTCTTATTTTAATTTATATTTATTTATTTTATATATTCTTATTTTTATGAAAAATGAATGAAATGAAAGTGATTAATTTGAAACATTAATCAACTGGGATGAAATTAAATGAAATGAGATTAGATGATATGGGATGAAATGTAATCTCAGTAAAATTATTCATCATTTACTGAGATTTTTTCAGTGGACTTTTTGGAGGATCCCGAGAAGTTGCGTTCAACGGCTTTGTTTCGTTTTCCCACATTTGTGCACTTTCACAGATATTAAACAGTTAATAAACCACCGTTATTACACATTTAAACGTGAAGAAACACTAAATAGACAAAACTAAAACAAATCACACAACTTCAGTCCTCGCGTTCCTGCCAAAAAGTCTTAAGAAAATCGAACAGGTCATATATTTGACTACCCGCGTTTCTGCGAAATTGTGTATTTATATCAGACTCCTACGTATTCCCGTAGTGAAGTGGTATCGGCAGCTGCCTTGCTCCAGCCGACGTTGCTGCCTCGTGTGCACCCAGCTCTCTTCGTGCTGTATGCGTTACACAACAAGAGAGAAGACGACATGTACTGGAGGAGACTGCTGAAATGGAACAAACAGCCGGATATCACTCTGATGGCCTTCCTCGGGATCGATCAGTGAGTATCGAACTATTTTTGCCACGTACCATCCGGCTTTGGAATGAGCTCTCCTCCACGGTGTTTCCCGAGCGCTATGACATGTCCTTCTTCAAACGGCTTGTGGAGAGTATTAAGCGGTAGGCAGCAGCTTGGCTCTGGCCCTAGCATTGCTGAAGTCCATGGGCGACGGTAACCACTCACCATCAGGTGGGCCGTATGCTCGTCTGTCTGCACGGGCAATAAAAAAAATGTTATTGCATTACGTGGATGAACAATATTTTATACACAATTTACTAGCTATAAATTTTGGCTAAAAAATACCTGCTTCTATTGAGCAGGAAAAAAATATGACATGTTTCAAGAATTAGCAATCTGTTTCCAATTTAAATGTGGGCTGTGTGCTCGTCTGCCTACAAGGCAATAAAAAAAAAAACAAAAAATATGGAGGGGTCAATATTATTTCGCCTTCGCGGCAGAAATGGTCAAAACGGTGATACCTTCCCGTGCAGACTTATTTTAAGCCCTACCACCAATGTTTTGATAGTGAAAATGAAAAAAACAAGCCTGAAAGTAAAAACAAATTATTAGTGCGTTTTTATTACCTAATTGAGTGAATATTTTTCAGGAAATTCTGGGTGAGTTACTCGTCGCAAAACAATCAGTCACCTCCTTACTCTCCGATGAAGGATCAACACTTTCAAGAGGCAGTAGAAACGCTTCAGCAATTGAAGACCACTTTCTCGCCGATCGAGAAACTCCTCGTCATAAGGAATACCTTTCAGAAGATGACCAGCGCCGTCCAACAAGAATTAGGTAAGGCTTAGGTCACTTGTTTGAAGCCATCAACTGAAGAACTAATGACTTAACTGATGATACGCCCGGTGTTTTCTTATATAGTGCTGTGACTCTTCTAAGTAAATACGTACCTAACAATACTTTATTAACGGCTCCCACTATGTGGAATTAACATGACAATTTTAGTGGTGGTTGAACGTATTGTGAGTCCGCGTGGATAGGTACTACCACCCTGCCTATTTCTGCCGTGAAGCATTTACATTCTAGATGTCTATGGGCTCGGATAACTCATACAGACAATAATAAAAATCCGGTAGAAATGAAGCTTTCAGAAGCATTCTATCTCATTATCTCGCAGCTTAAATCTTCTTAGTGTCATTTTTATTTAAGTTTCAAATCGCACACAACCTTTTAATATCAAAATCGTATACTGGCATAGTTGTAATGTTTGTTAACTGTTTATCACCAGGAGGTTATTAGCTCGTTTCCCCACGCTGACGATACATAGCTCGTTTCCCCACGCTGACAATACATAGCTCGTTTCCCTACGCTGACGATACATAGTTCGTTTTCCCACGCTGACAATACATAGCTCGTTTCCCTACGCTGACGATACATAGCTCGTTTCCCTACGCTGTCGATACATAGCTCGTTTCCCTACGCTGTCGATACATAGCTCGTTTCCCTACGCTGACGATACATTATTCCCAGGTCAAAACTACCTATGGACCATGGACGAGCTGTTCCCGGTCTTCCACTTCGTGGTGGTCCGCTCCAGGATCTTGCAGCTCGGCTCCGAAATACATTTCGTTGAGGACTTCCTCGAGCCGGGCATGCAGCACGGTGAACTCGGCCTTATGTTCACCACCTTAAAGGTCAGTTTCGCTCGATTGGTTTACTCGATTCTCGTCTAATTCTAGTATTTAAAAACGGTTTTCGGGCGCCTTAGCAAATGCGACCTCGATAGATTCGTATGAGTTAGTATAGAGTATATTATAGCAGTCGTGAGTCAAATATTGATCACGTATGCTGGCATCTAATGAGTGTGATTGGATTATTGGATGTGTGTGCGCGGTTTCGTGTGTGTGTGCATGCATGCTGGTGTGTGTGTGCATGCTGGGTGTGCGCAGCTGCATGTGTGTGTAGCTTACGGCTTAGTTGCTTTTCCCAGATTTAACAGCTCAAATTTTAATAAAATTTGCCCTTGCATCATTTCTTACCAGCCACAAGACAATTTCTTGCTTTTTATTTGCTTGAGTTGGTGGTTTATCAACTTAACTTATCAATGTTTCACCCATTTAGTATTAAAATTGAAGGAATGAAAAACTAATTGTTCAATTTCAGGCCTGCTACTTCCAGATACTTCAAGAGAAGATGTCGATGAATTAGTAAAATATGTACTGTTTTTTTTTTGCGGTTTTCGCGACTCCTAGACACAATTAAGACTATTCTTAAGGCTTAATCTCGCATTTATAATTTTCATTTTATCGTTTTCAACGTAAATTTGTTTATTTGAAAAACACAAATTAGACGGTAGTTGACAATATCAATTCTCGACGAAAGATTTTTTCGCAGAACGCGAGGAGACGCGTCGGAGACGTTCAGATAATTGTTATTTGGGAACTTATATATATATGCAAGTTTATCTTGAAAATGTCATTAGAGAGATTCAGGTATCTGTCAAATATCTTGCGTTCTATGATGGCTACCATCACATTGGAATAGAAGGAAAACTCCTCAGGCGACCACAACCATGAAAACTTTAAAGTATACTATACTATACTATAAGTATAATATACGCGAGATTAAACCGTAAATATAGTTTTAATTATATCATAAAATATAGATTTAGATGTAGCTTATGTAATCAAATGATCTCCTAGTTGGTATTGCGTTGTATGTACATAAATAATATATATGTTTTAATGAATTCGTTTCAATTAATTTTCGCAGGATAAAAAAATTAACGTCCCTTTATAGAGAGACGTGCTTGTTGCAAAGGACAATGCCCATTCTCTTTGGGCGATTGGTGAAAGAAATGTTGATTCATAAACAAAACAGTGTGAAAAAATAAGGCATAGTTTTTCAAGTCCAAATAGTGACACAAAGTTGGCCCACTTTTTGGGCATTGTCCTTTAATGTAAAAAATATAAATATAATTTGTGCTCTTTGACAAAAAAATGTGACATCACATACAATCAGTAATTTTTCAATATGGTATTATTATTATTTCACATAGTCAAAAATTGTAATATATTTTTTATGAAATTAATTTTAATAAGATAGACGGAATTTATAACTGTTATCTTTGAAGCTACTATTGAGATTAGCTTGGAAGCAAAATTTTAACATACCCAATATAATAATTTAATAATGTATAATGTAGCTGTGTGTTGGAACTTTGTATGGGCATATGTAGATGAACTCACCTCACTAATAGCTTAAAATAATAAAATAAAAACTATTTATGTTTCAATATTTTTTTTTTATATTTCACGACATTAGGTCTATAACCATTGGCGTCTATTTTTAATTTCTTTCATACGGATCCTTAAGTGTTTTCTTTTTACTGAAAATAAATATTAGATTAAATAATTAAAGGAATCTTATTGCCGCATGAATAAGGCATCTATTTTTTTTGTTACATAGACTCATGGTGCACCCGATGCTAAGTGGTTAGTGGACACCATAATTTTTTTACTGGTGGCAGGATATCTTGTGAGTCCGCGCGGGTAGGTACCACCGCCCTGCCTATGTCAGCCGTTGACGTGTAATTTTTTTTTTTGTTTTTTGTTATCAAACTTATTTTGTATTATAACTCAAATGTATTCGTGGGTAATTAATTATTTATTACAATTATGAAACTAAAGTTTTTTTTAGTAATTTAAGTAGCTTTAACATTAAAACGATTGTACAAAATTAAATATCAAACGAAGAAAAAACGTTTTGCTGTAGTCAAATTATAATACGTAGTTACGTTTTTTTTAATAAATTAAATTTGATTATCGATTAAATAATCTTATGCTTTAACTATAATTAAGTGTTATTTATTTATATTATTGAGATGTTTATTTTTGTACCTGTAATTAATGGAATGTTATTTAATATAACTAATATATTATTGTTTATATTACATTCAAATTCATTATAGTGATATTGGTATTCTAATGTTCAAATCATTAATCCCACCTCTAAAATATTGATTCCGATTCCAATAAACTTTTTGTTTTGTTATAGTAAGCCGGCACGTAAGTTGGCAAGGTTTTGGTGTAGTGGGGGTAATATCGCGCATAGTGCACATTGTAACAAAAAATGGTCACTTTTATTGCCCGTATATAATTTAATTTAATTTAATTAAATTTTTTATTTGCCTCAGTGACTGCATCGACTATATGGTCATTGATATTTGGTCCTGGCATTGCAAACAAACTTAAAACAATAACACTCGTAACAAAAACTAAATTTAAAACAATAATAACAACTCGTAACAAAAACCCAATATAAACAAAGGGTTCCTACAACTTTAGTAGGCGCATGTGTAACCAGGAGCGAACGGAACGTGGACGCGGTGCGGGAGGGGAGGGTCGACTGACTCACCAATCGCGCGCTCGGAATGGTGCTACGTCTTTCCCCGCATCCCGCTTGACAACCAAAGAGACCTAAAAAACGACTTCTGCGCATCTAACGACTCTTACCAAGTTACGTGCCGGGGACTATATGTAGCTTTCACCTAAAGTATGCGTCTCATTCAATATGGACGATGAAGATAAATTTTCTGATTCAATTTTATATTGTAGATATTAAGTAACATGAAAAGGTTTTAATGCCAAAAAAAAGATACGAGTTTATAATATTTACGCTGAGATATGCGCGATTGGCTTATGGCGTTAGTGACGTCATCGCCTCGTTTGGACGTCACAGAAAAAAGTTTGTTATTATTAGCTGATCGTGATACCTTCATCGCCAGGAGACTGCTTCTTCAGCTGCTCTAGTTATTAAGCCTAATCTCAGCTTCAAAACTTGGACTAAAATGGCGGTGTTATCGGTACCACGGATAGATTTGTTGTATTTTAAACGTATGTATTTATATGCTATCAAAAGTAATATTATGTATTTAAAAACTTTTCAAAGTTTAATAAATATTGCAAATAACGGTATCTACGTGGTTTTATTTTTTTATTCTATTATTATATGTTTTTCATTGTGTTGGTTAGCACGCTGATTTCAAAAATTGTGATCGATTGGCATTTCAAATAAAATGGTTAAGTTAAATAAAAAAAGCACTTTGTATTCATCATTATTTGTTTTATGACTAAAAAAAAAATGGTTGTTTTGTCAATCGACATCTTACGTCGTTATGTAGTAGAGTGAGTTTCTTTCTTGGGTTTATCGCAAAACTGGCTTCCACTGGAACATAGTAATGTAAAAAATTAAATTTTATTAATTAAAAACCAAATGTCGTGCAGTGCAATGATTAATACAAAATAATATCATGTTAATAAAAAAAGCTTTTTTTGTCCTACCTATGCTAGTAACCCCGAAAGGTTATCTTAGCTTCACCGGACGTATAGGCTAGCTCATGGGGCTCAGCTTGACGGTTTTGCTAACACTAGCCCTAGCAAGAAAAATTCCAGATCACACCACAAAAGTAGTTTTAGTTAGGTCCACGACTGAAAAATCGAAGAAAACGACTTTTTATTTTTATTGTATAGACAGATGGACGAGCTCACAGCCCACCTGGTGTTAATTGGTTACCAGTGGTAGGTAAATGCCGCCACCCACCTTGAGATACGAGTTCTGAGGTCTCAAGTATAGTTACAACGGCTGCCCCGCCCTTCAAACCGAAACGCATAACTGCTTCACGGCAGAAATAGGCGGGGCGGTGGTACCTACCCGTGCGGACTCACAAGAGGTTTTTAGGAGACGACTTTACGAAAACATGTTTTATCTCCACGTACCTACAACATTCCTCATTCTTCAGAACGGTCACCACATACAGCATTCCTCGTTTATCAGAACATCTGTACTTACAAGTTTTTACTTGCTCTTTCGATTAGAGTGGAAATGTAAGAAAAACAAAACATAAATTATTAAGGCTATTTATTTTCATTCCTATAAAATAACATACCAAATGTCTCTTTTGTACAACATGATATCAAAAATGCACACCGTTATATAAATGTTGTCATCATCAAACGTTATCCTGCTAGCTAATCTCCGATCGATCTATTATAACCGTTTGTTTAAACACGAAAATACATTTATCTCATCTGTCTCTTTCTCTGTAAAAACTTATATACTTTTATTTATTTAAAACCGACCGCGTGAAAACGTATCGTAAAATCTCCAATAAAACTTTTGAACATCAATGAATCGGCTAACATTTCAATTATCCGATTATCGTAGCCTATTACGACCATTATTTCTTTAATTTAACAACGTTTAATGACGTGACCATTGTTACGTAGAATGTTAGTAAAAAAAACTCTAACACTAATAATCCGTCCGGTGTACTTGTATTTCTTCACGTATGGCCTTCTGTGGCGACATTGAAATATTATGTGCATATAAGTCGTCTTCCAATAAAATATATGATAATGAATGCTGAACAACAAACAAATAGTAACATTTTATCTAATGATTATGTGATTATGATGAATAAACATTTTTTTATTATTATTGCTTAGGTGGATGGTCGAGCTCACAGCCCACCTGATGTTAAGTGGTTACTGGAGCCCATAGACATCTACAACGTAAATGCGCCACCCACCTCGAGATATAAGTTCTAAGGTCTCAGTATAGTTACAATTTAACACAATTTAAAACAATTGGAAATTTTACGATACGCTTACGTAAAAATTCTGTACAATATCTACAATAGAATATTACTGTTATTATATACTAGATATTTAAACGAACAAACAAAATTTGTTTCTAATTTTCGAATTAAGTATTTTTGTTTGTTTATTGCACTGGGACCACATAGAAATAGAACGATAAACAAATTTCGCATTCAAAACATCAAACAATAATATAATAAATTTAATAAAAGCTACGTTATTAATTAGTTTTTCGCTTACAAAATGTCAATGACAATCACGAATTTATATAAAAAATATTAAATCGATTTTCATTATTAGTATCAAATTTTCAGTTTTAAGTTTTATATATATTTATTAACATCAAATTTTATATTTAGAGGCAAGAAAACTGTATAACCGATCCGTTTTTTTTAACAATACAAAGATATGCGCTAGGTACAGCGAAAGCACAACCCTCAAATTATTAATGCATAACTTAATTTAGAATAAATCTGCCCCGATGTGTCTGCGTGAACATTTACGATGGAAGTCTAATTAGACACAAAATCAGACTATACAATTCCTTACTTGAATTTTGCTTGTATATTTTCTGTTACAAACACCTGGGATCACCTTAATGCGATGAAACTTACTCAATACATACTATTAATTTCTTCTATTTGCAGAGAAATCTATTTAATGTTTTTGTTGATTATTTGACGGTAGTCGTCGCAGTGTTTATGTGTTGAAAAGTTAACACGTTAGTCGCCCGTGAAAACCGAATAATATTCTGAAACTCGGAAATCGTAAAGAATAATTTGCCCGAGTTTAATAGTATATTTTAGTATAAATATTTTAAAAGTGCTTTTCATTAGTATAGTCAAAGTAAAGTTTTTGATAAAGAAATCGGTAATATATTTATCGATATTTTTAACAAAAGGTTGAAAGAGTTTTTAATCTCGAAAACACATTTACCAGTACAAGAAAATGATTATTACTTTTTATAAAATTTTAGAGGGTAGTACGAATAACGAAAGCAACTCGGAAAACAAAGGTTTGAATGTCAACAATTATAAAATGAAAATAAGTAAACGCGAGACACTAAGCCTTATAGTAAGTGGTTCTGAAAATATGTATGATTTTTAAGAGAAGTGTAAACGCTGCCCCAAAAACTTGTTAAATATTCTTTATACGTTACTTTAAATTCGTGAATCTTCAAATAAAACAACTATTCACCAAAAAACAAACCTCAACAAATAAAGCTTTTTTTCAAATTAGATTAGGATTCATTGGGATTATTTATTGCCTTTCAATCTCTTTCCGTCGATAGATGTTAACATTAACATCCTTAGCCGCATAGAAATAAAATTTAAAATTCTATGCCAATGGTTCCACGGCAAAATTTCTATTAGTTCTTTATCTAATCTACGCTGACCCCAGGCGGAACTTCGAACAACGAAATATTAAAAACACATAAAACAATAAAACGCGTATATAAAAACAAATCACCAATTAATATACATAAATGTAATATAATCTAATAATGTAAATAAGATATTACAAATTAATAATAGTTATTCAATAACATCGAATCAGAAAAATACTTTAGCAAAAAAAAAACCTCAGACGAACACCGCTATGTACAGTCGTATAGAAAATTCAAATTAAATAATGTTCTTTACAAAATATTGAAAAATTGACAATTATTATTGCAGGTTTTTTTTTCATTATCTATATTCAAACATTAAAAAATAAAACGGACGATATTAATTTCATAAACAACACTTAAAAACGTGTCAGCGTTAATACATTAATGTAAATTATTTTCTAACATCCATTATTTAATTCAATACTTACGGACAACGCAAGAAACGTAAAAAGAACTCAACGCATATAATATTACTATAACAAACTACCTACCTAAAAAAATTAAATCTTATAAAATAAATGCACTACAGTGGGCCTATGGTGGTAAGTCGTATAATCTTAAGCCTCTGGAAGATTCGTTCATATACACACAAACGGGCGCTTTTGTCATGGCGGCCCGCATACATGGGTAGTTTTCCAATTACAGAGCATAATGCGACTCAGTGAGGCACATTGCCGAATTATGCTGAAGCTTAATTGGAACGTGAATTAGTTTTCAAATGCATCAGCAGAGTGCGCTAAGTTAGCACAGTTTTAATTAACATTGATTATTTCTAAGAAACTACGACGAAACGAGAGCCTTACAATTTTTTTCAACATTAAATAATATTACTAACGATAATATAAACAAAATTTCGATCAATGCCAACTTAAAGAAAAAACACTTGTCAATTTTCTGTCACTGGGTCGGTATCGATTGCGAGTATCACGCGAGAGCAGTACCTTTGAGAGTGCTCGATTGTGCGAAGCGTTGCTGTAGTTGGAACATTCAACGTTGAGCATTATGCCGCATAATGCGCTCTTGTGCTGTAATTGGAAAACTACCTGTATTACGCAAACGTTATCGCCAAGGCATCTATCTGAATTCGAACAACGGATTGAAACGCAATATCATTGTGTTAAATAATATATTTACTAACAAAATATAATGTTTTTTTGTTTTTGTTTTACAGCAATTTCAAGAGCAGCATGAACGAATCTTGACATCGACAAATATTGTTTTTCATTTAATAAATTAAAACATTTATTAACCTGATATGATCATCGTGGACTAAATGCGAGATCCGAGGACCGCGTTTTGATTTCATTCATCCTTACTACGGCGACACTTTTATACCGCAGACAAAAAATAACGGAGACGACTCAAATTTATCGAAACAATTATGAAATTTTATTAGAAAATTCCAAGCGAATAATTCAACTTTACTGGCAGACTTGCATTTCTTATACATTTCAAAAATATTAACCTCTAAAAATCTCCAAGTTATCACCTGACACCAATCTCATTCGACGAGCCGCCATTTTTAATCGCTCGGACGTAACAACGCAACCAAACTATCGAATCTAACCTCCCGATAAAACTGCACTATCTCTATATATAAAAATTAATTGCTGTTCGTTAGTCTCGCTAAAACTCGAGAACGGCTGGACCGATTTGGCTAATTTTGGTCTTGAATTATTTGTGGAAGTCCAGGGAAGGTTTAAAAGGTAGATAAATATGAAAATCCTCGGAATTAAATCAAAATAACAATTTTGTTTTTCCTTTTTCTTTGTTTTAAGTTTATTTTATACAAAAGTTTAGGTCTTTTATTTATCGATTGAGGCACTACGAAGTCTGCCGGGTCAGCTAGTTTCAAAAAAAAGTAATGAATATTATTTAAAGCGTCGCCGTCAACAAAACTCGGTCGAGATAACGCTGCAATCACCTAAACTAGATTCGGATGCGTTCGCAGTACGCGCACGCGACGCACTCACTATTGTGCGCGCGGAACTAGTTGGCCACGCCTTCTATGTGAGCGGCGGGACGGAGAGGCCGGGGGCGCTTTTTTTTTCCCTTCCCTATGCTGATAGCCTTGAGAGGCTATTTCAGCTTCACCCTAAAGTGTAGGTGAGCTCACGGGACTCAAACCGGAGTGTTGCTAACAATGACTAGCAGAAGCAGTGATTCGCAGAATCTACCACCGGAGGGGGCGCTTGCTGTCATTACTGATATGAGATTTGATACTATGATGGACGAAATCATTATAAACTCACAAGATGATTCTGAATCAAGTTCAGAGTTCAGAATCAAGTGATTCCGTGGATATATCCGAGTAATTTTATATAAGAATATATTAATTAAATAATTTCATATATCATTAAAATATGCCAGAATAATTTCATATACTTAATTTGTTTTTGGTTTATTTTACTATTAATTACAATATAATTAGATAGGTACAATATAAACTTCTAAAAGTTCAATTGATTTTTATTCATTTATTTATTTTATTTAGTCATCACTGTCTAATGTCATGTGCGTTACGAGCAGTAGGCAACCCGCCCCCTCACCCCTGTCGCCACATAAGGCGCCACCAACTAGCACCAACGCGCACAGTATGAACAACAAACACGCAAGCCGCGTAAATAATATACCTCAATGTCGATAAACTAGTGAAATCCTTTTAGAAGATTTTCATCGTATTAAGTTAATGGACAAAAAAAAACAACTTATGTACATAATCAATAATCGAAATAGATGATGTTAATTTAAGACTAAAAACATTGATTAAATATAAAATAGTACAAAATCGATTTCGCTCAACCTCCGACCGAACACACCTGTGGTGACACAACATGGGGTGGCGCGATTTGTAAAATATCGATATTAATATTATTTTTTTAATTCATTGACCCTCCCTCATTGCGTGGCACGTTAAAACAACTGAACACGGAGCCTATTGTAAATGTTCATTTTATATCGATACGTATTAAACTATTTAAACGATTGAACGGGTTCTTACTACGATTTTTAAATTTATCGACCTTTCGATATTGCGAGCGCCGTGGTCACGTGCAAGTCGAAGATTGCGGGTAGATTGTTAAGAGCAGATAAATCTGTCTACCCTCTAACTATTCAGTTTTTAAATGTTACCACTGGAACTCGATAACTCGCCCGACAATATACCCTCATCGCTATCGACAGATTTGCCGAATACATATCGAGAACCGTTAAAGTCGTTAAACATCAAAATCGTAGTAAGAATGCGTTGAACGTGTTATATTGTACACTTTGTACTTTATAAATCGAATTACAACGCGACAATGATTGACGGAGGGAAACTCGTGAACAATTGAGCTTTACGCACTATGAAATAAGTATCGATTGTGTTCGTTTCAATTTTTTTGTAAAATATAGATCAAGGGATCCCGGACTGACCATAGACGTAAAAGCCACCGTCCAGCTCGAGACATAAGATCTAACTCGCGTTTGTGTCGTAACACTGTCATTTCAAACAACTTTTCATTACGACAACAACAAAAAAAATATATAGCGGAATCAAAAAATATTTTAACGCAACATCAACCATTGTTACAAATTCAGTGATTAGTAGTAATAGGACGTCATAGCCATTTAAAAAAAAAAAAGATATTAAAGAAAGATATTATCAATGTGAAACGTGCACTAGTCCAATATTCTTCACAAGTAATGTTCGTCACATATAGAATTTATCAAACTGCTTAACTAATACTGAAAGCACCAATCCGTTTTATTTAATTATTATTTTTATATATTAATTCCTCATATTACATTCGTACATAAGAGCGTTATTCGTGGATCGATTTGTGTACATTGTACATTGTAGGTATTTTTTTTTATATCATATCATATTTAAATAGTAATATGTAACTTATTCGTATGCCTTTAAAATAGAATTTACGACAATCGATCTTTTAAAACTCGTTGATTACAAAAAGAAAAACAGATATAGGTTTATTAAAATATGGTACATTATATTTTATTTAATCGTGTAAAATGGCATCAAACATTACAAAGCTAGTTTTAATACTGAGTTGATAATTTATTGTATTTTTATATGTTCATATTTAAATATTTCAAAAGTGCTTTACTTTCCAAATAACGAAAAAAAAAATTAATAAATAAAAAGTTACTTGAAATCTCGTTCTCTATTACAATCACCCGTGTTTGGAATCTTAAACTTATAATTATTAATTAGTTATTAAAAAAAACAACTCATATGACACAAATGATTGACTCATTATTGTCATCAATGATTTTTACTTAAGAGAAACAATTATAATAAATTGATATTACTCAAGGTATGTACACAATAAAGCTACAATTATAATTACAAACGCATACGGATTACGTCTAGTGTGCACAAACCTTATTCGATTCAATGTTACACTGGTTTTTTTCAACTGGATTCTTAGAGCGTCTAAATCAGGTTTCTGTTTGATTTATTGTAAGCGAACAGAATTACTCATAATATCACTACTAATTAATTGGTAGATTTGTGGAAAAAAAACCATGTAACATTATCGATAAAAGCGAGCCCTACTCTATTCCCACATTAAGTGCTGTATCGATTTTCGCTTAAACAACGAATTGTAAAATCTATTTACACAATAATATATTATTTAAAAACGGTATTTTAAAATCTATACCATGATTTGTCGGCTTCCGTACATTCCTTAATTAAAATATTTACACGTTTTGTTTTCGCTATTGTTCGATATTAGTGTACAATAACAGTCGTTTCATATTTAGAATTCGTGATAGCTTTTATCGTTTCGTTCGAAATAAAACGGCGGTGTCGAGAGTTACAATTCGATAACTCACTTCTATACAATAAAAAAAAACAAATCATATTATCGATTATTGTCGAATATTGTTAATTAAAAAAAACCGCAATGAAATAAAAAAAATACGAGTCGCATTTTCTGATGACCGTCCAGCTTTCAAGAGCCTCGACAAGCAGATAGATAGCTAAGCCTTAATATTTTAAACAGCTCAATGCTCGAGGCGATTTTCCGATCAGTTATAATCTAAATCGATTGCATACAGGACGGACCGTTATCGATACATAAAAAAAAACAAAAGAGTATTTGGGTCGTACGGTTTGCTCATATCCTAACTTACTTCGTATTTGATCCCGAGCAAACTACACTGCGGTTAAACAAAACAAACAGAAAAAACCAACATCAATATAGGGATGTACCGTGAAAAACTATCGATACGTAAAAAAAAAAAAACAATACGACAAAACAACATCACACATCCATCATATAGAACGCTTACGATCTAAAAAATACCTAATACGTAATATAGGTACGAATAACGTCCTCACTATCCAGAAGGCAAAATTGGCACTTAAGACGTAGTTCGCTCCCCGCTTCGCGGCGTCGAGGGCGAGGAGGAGGGCGGCGACGCGACCGCGCGGAGGCCGCGGCTATGTGCTCGGCGAGTTGTTCTGCGTCGGGTTGTACGGGTGGTTCGAGTTGCGCAAGACAGTGTACACGCTCTCCACTTTGCTCAGCTTCTCGAAGAACGGGATCAGGTCGAGCAGCTCAGAATCTGTCATGTCGTCGAACCAGGACGCGACAGGCACCTGTGACGAAACGAACATCACGTTTTAACAGTCCGCATGGGTAGATACCACCACCCTGTATAATTCTGCCGTGAAGCAGTAGCGTGTTTCGGTTTAAAGGGTGCGGTAGCCGTTGTAACTATACTGAGACCTTAGAACTTATTTCTCAAGGTGGGTGGCGGCATTTACGTAGATGTTTATGGGCTCCGGTAACCACTTAACACCAGGTGAGCTTTAAGCTCGTCTAACCATCTAAGCAACAAAAATAAAAAAAGCACACCGACGACTCGTTTATATCGACTTTCAAAAATTATTTTTAGCCGACTGAGAATTTTTGTACCCAAAATTGAACAAAGTACTCATAAAAGCGTCATCATCATTCTCCTGCCCTTCTCCCAGTCATCTGGGCTCGGCGCTAAATATTCACTCCCTTGTTATCCATCAATTTTTTCTTAGCTCTACCTCGAGTACTCATGTACTCATAAAGGCATGTGAGCATGAATACGTACAGCATTATCCGGGTGGAATATGTAAGAAGCGGGCGAGTTGTCGACGATGACGACCCGCCGCAGGTCCCGCCCGAGGCTGTTCAGGTCCTTGACGTAGTTGCCGCGGTGGAACACGCAGCTGTCGCGGAACAGCCGCGCGCGGAATACGCCCCATCTTTGAACACAAGGCACACAGCAACGATACTCAAAAGTTTTATTCCTGGAATATTTTTGAAGTAAAACTTATTTAGACTACGCGTTAAGAGTAAGATTTAACTCGCGATAGATTCGTTACGGCTAGAGAGAAAAGATACACATTAGGAAGAGCGAGAATGAGAAAATAGACAGTGTCTCGTGAACTCGACCGTGGAGGGAGGGGATTTCCTGTATTGCACGTAATATAACACAAATACAAATAAATGGGTCAACAGTCGGAGGCATACCAACTGCGTGTTACATCGTCACTACCACGATCGAAAAATAAAATTACACACAAATCAAAAAAAACACTATACGTACGGTGCCGTATATTGTGAACCTACACAGATAGCTACCACCAATCTGCCTTTTTAGCTGCTAAACGGTCAAGCGTACGATTTTGAAAAATAGGACAATAAAATAGAGAGTTTGAACTGATATGCCTCAACGTTAGTAATGGTATTGGGAAGTATCAACAATGAGGGACGCTTCCCAAATCTATCGTTGCCGGTAGACGAGCCATCCTTGACTACTATCTTCTTCTGGGTCGTGTCTAGTTTGAAATGATGCTCACTCCATTCCATATACTTACTTACTTAACTAAACTCCATATTATTATTAGAAGAGCGCAGGGATTAAACCTAAACTTTCCTATTAGTAGACCAAGCTTCGGTGGCGTGTTAAACTTGACCTTTCACTTACTGAACGGTATTATAATTTATACGATAGGTCACGGACAAGTGATAGAAAACGGGGTAGAGGGTGAAACGGTCACTAACGTAACGCGTTTTTTATTTTTAAAATCTGGACGGCTCAACCTATATATTTATTTTACTATACTTTATGTCTAGGATATTATTGTATAGGTATCATTATAATTGTATTGAACAACACATGACGAACATTCAGTATTTTATTTGTAACTATATTTTTCTTAATACACGAAAATCGAACGCCTTCGTAATATTTTTTTAAGGGATTTTATGACCTGGTAACCTTTAGTCAAGTCTTATTTTAATTTTAATGAACACTTTTTTATATGAAAAATTATGGAATGAAATGAAGTTGATTAATATGAAACATGGCATGAAATGAAATGAAATGAAATGAGATAATATGGGATGAAATATAATCTCAGTAAAATGGTGGTCATTTACTAAGACTTTTTCAGTGTACTTTTTGGAGGATCCCGAGAAGTTACGTTCAGCGGCTCTGTTTCATTTTCCCACATTTGCCCACTTTCACAGATACTAAACAGTTAATAAATATAGTTTTTATTGCCACAGAATAAGCAACAGGCCGTAGAATTCAATAAAATAATCTATTGATAAAGTAACAACGAGATCGTGTACACAGTTTAGATGTGTCGATCGGGTCGATATTTGCACATCCCAAATGCCCCTAAAAATTTTTTTAGCAATACAATTTATTTGTGTTTATATCGTTTCGCCTTGGCACTATTGATATTTATTCAAGCACTGATGTTGATGTCGAATAGATGGGTAAACGTTGCATCACAAATAATGAATAACACAACTAGTATTCGTTTGATGAGAATGAACAATGAGTTTCCCGCAGTACCACGCGGCTCAACGTAAGCCATCGTCATGGTTTTTGCATTGCAATAATTATACTGAGCGTCGCTGTTCTTAATTACAAAACGTTACAAATTATTATTATTTTTCATGAATCAGGTTTTTTTATTGCTTAGATGGATGGACGAGCTCACAGCCCACCTGATGTTAAGTGTTTACTGGAGCCCATAGACATATACAACGTAAATGCGCCACCCATCTTGAGATATAAGTTCTAAGGTCTCAGTATAGTTACAACGGCTACCCCACCCTTCGAACCGAAACGCATTACTGCTTCACGGCGGAAATAGGCAGGGTGGTGGTACCTACCCGTGCGGACTCCCAAGAGGTCCTACCACCAGTGAAAAAGGTGACGGGAGGTCATGATAAAGAAGTCCTCTTTTGATTACCGCTAAAGCGCTCGTCTGGTATCAGTAAATCAACAGCAACATAGTAGTTAGAACAAAATGACTCTAAGCTAATATCTTTGAATCACAAAATTTTTAAAATCATGTTCATTATTTAGATTATTAAATCACTGCCATTTATGTTAAATTTGCGGTACAATGACCCGATATGTAGTAAAATTTCATCAAACTAAATACTAGACCAAGTGTGAGAACTGAATACAATACAACTGATATTTAGGTTTATATTATATTATAAGCCTATTGTTCTATGTCAAAATTACGCTTTTTGAGGGAACTCTCGATTTTAATGCCCATCAAATTATTGTAGCGGGATCTTTACATGGAATCAGTTCTTACCGTTAGAAACAACAAATCTCAAAAAATTACATAAATTGGACGACAAGAAATAAACGCAATACTTACATACATTTTTCTTTAAGTTATCGTACGAACTTACGATATTTATTTTCATTTATGTATTAATAGAACAGTCATTAAAAATGAGGTTCATCGTAATTTTAATATCCCATATTTAACAAATTGATCCATTTCATAAAAATCGTAGTCTAAATCTTGTCGATTTTTTTTGCGTGTTTTTTTAAAGTGCCAATCTTCATATTAGTTTTTTGTTTTTTTGTTTTTTTTTATTGCCATTGTAGGCCGACGAGCATACGGTCTACCTGATGGTAAGTGGTCACCGTCGCTAATGGACGTCAGCAATGCCAGGGGCAGAGCCAAGCCGCTGCCTACCATTAAGTACTCTCCGCAAGCCTCGTTTGAAGATGGGCATGTCATAGCGCTTGGAAAACACCGTGGAGGGGAGTTCATTCCAAAGCCGGATGGTACGTGGCAGAAAAGATCTTTGGAAATGCACTGTCGATGAACGCAGCGGTTCCAGTTAATCCAGTTGAGTCCATTTGGAGTGATTTTTGGTTTTACATCATGACAAGGTTTGGACCTAACACTCACTGTTTTTAGAAAGTTCAGGAATATAGTTATCTCTTTCTAACTCACCGGTCCAGTAGATCGGCGACAGGATCGGCGTACTTCGCCAATGACGCGGTGAACAAAACGCACTCGTAAAGCTCGCCACACCGCCGCAGGAACTCGTCGACATGCGGCCTCTTCAGAACGTAAACTTGATGGACCGCACCGTCGATTTCTACAGGCACCACGAAATCTGCATTGTTTATAGGCTGGAAAAAAAAAAATTTTTTTTAATTAATATGAACACAGAAACGCCGAGAGGAACATGAACAATGTTCCTAGACTCACTTTAGTTCTGGCCTAGCGACGTGTTATAGGATGTGGCTGCATGAGCTTCAGACGGCCTGACGATACAGAGGACCGGTCTGTTGAATGATCCTATTGTAACGTTTGATTTTAAATAAAGAAACATATTTTAAATCATATTCTTTTTTTTTATTGCTTAGATGGGTGGACGAGCTCACAGCCCACCTGGTATTAAGTGGTTACTGGAGCCCATAGACATCTACAACGTAAATGCGCTACCCACCTTGAGATTTAAGTTCTAAGATCTCAGTATAGTTACAATAGTATAGTATAATAACAATAGTTACATTAATCGTTTTTATTTCATTATTTTTAAGAACTAATTAGTTAAATTACAGAACGATTTACGAATTATTTTAAATCTGTTAGTAGTAGTAGATAGCTTGGGGAATTCTAAGCATCATAAATGTATGAAACAAATGTTATTATCATCATCGCTGCTTCGTAATGCGTAAGTACATAGAGACTAGAGTGTGACTCACGTGACAATTATTCGAATCTTTCAAAATTATTGTGGGGAACCTTCGTAACTACCCACCATTATGGATGAAAAATCGTTCCAAACTATGTCGATCATTTAGCGTTTAGGTGACACAAATCAATGTCGATATTAAATTTAAAGTTGTTTAAGGTATATTTAACAGCCCAATACTCTTGACCTTCAAATATGACGTAACTTTTATGACTATTTACTCTGTTTGACTGCATTTTCTTATGAAAAACTTTTGAGAGGATCCGACTTAAAAATCTCAGTGTTGTGGTTATAGTTTTTTCTTCGTGCATAACTATTGGAAAACTTCTTTTTAAACGTGCGAAGGTCACTTAACTTGATTTTAATATTAGACGATAATTAAAAGCAAAAGTAAATTCTAATTTAGTTCGTCATTAATTATCGATAACAAACATTCGCATTCAATATGACCCCAAACATTTGTGAGAAATAAATATTTTGATTACATTACCATTTAATTATTATTGATAACATTAAAATTAGTTATTACAATTTTGCCAGTGATCTTTGAGAAATCGATTTAAATTCCTGAATAAAGTAAATTAATTTATTATTCAAAATAGATTTCAAAAGTCGATATAAATCGTCACTAATTTACCGTTACTTTTCGAATGTTGTTTCGATCAAGCAATACGTAAAGCAAATTTAAAAGGTCGCGTGGCTAAATATATATGACGATATCGATTTGCTTGGCGTGTTCATATCGAGTGATGCTATCTCTATCCGGGTCCAAATCTTACGACGGGTACCGATTTACCAAAGTCAACTAAGTGTCACACTTTATCGGACTTCAACGATCAACGAAAAACACGGTGGCAGAAAGACAAAACCCGCACGATTTATAACTTATGAGATGAGTAATATAAAAAAAATCTAAATTGGTGGGTATGTTTATTTTTTTCTAAATTAAAATGATTTGTGACCGTGACGTCAACACCGAACAGGTACGTGCTATCATCAACTGCCACTAAAATTGGCGTGACTCGCTGACACGAGACTTCAAAACGGGTAATGGAAACAGCTCAGGGTACACTTTCACCTGTCCAACAATGGATCGTAAAACAATGCAAGAACGCTACAACACATCCACGTTTGGACTGGTGCTATGGGAAACTAAATTCACTGGCACACGAACGACATTGCCACGAAAAGTTTCGAACGATAGAAAAGTTATAAAAAAAAAAAAAGTTTGTTTGTTCTTAGTTAATGATGTTTGCGCTTGAACATTTTTATCCGAGAAATTCTTTGTAGCTACTGGACGTATTAAGAACCCGCACGGTTGTGAACCACCTATTTCTGTCGAGAAGTTGTCATGCGTTTCAGTTTGAAGGGTGGTCCAGGTCAAGTCTCGAGAAGAATTAACGCTCTGTGGGCTCGGGTAACTATTTAGCAGGTCAGCCGTAGGGTCATTCCGCTACATAACGGTCCAACCTTAAAATCAAAACGGATAATTGCTTAGCGGCATAAATAGGCCGAACGAACTGGTCACCACTCGCGCACACGATGGCTGATGATCGCTGTTGATATAATACATAGGATACGGTAAAACGTCTTAGTCGTTTTTTAAAACACCTATAGACAGATAGTAGAGTGCTAATCTAGGGCGATGTAGCGCGTAGCCATCATAGAACACAAGATATTTGACAGATGCCTTAATCTCGCTAACGACATTTTCAAGATAAACTTGCAAGTTCCCAAACAACAACATTCGGACCGTCCGTCTACCGAGAAGTTTCACCCGCTCGATGGAAGACCTATCTACCCTTTGTCGTTAACTATCAAACCCGACACAAACACCCCCTCAATCAATAAATCGTTCAACGCATCATCGAAATTATGGACTGCAAACTCAGTTCGATTAAAACAAAAAACAAATTAGCTCTCAATTTAACTCATATAAAATAGCATTTATAAATGCTTAATATATTGCCTTCAACGTTCAGATAAAAAAGAACAAAATTACAATAGGTAGACGGAATCAAAAGCATTGTACGACTAAATATAAAAATACCTGCATAATTAATAAATTAATATTTTGCATAAGACCTTCTTATACGTAAGTGGAGGAGTTTCCAAGTTACAATTTTAATAGCACGACAATGCTATAATGTAAGTAATATTTCATCACGAATCCCCCTCAAGGAATTCGAGTAAAATAAATGACGTTATAGAAAATAATAGCGGGTACTTAAAACACAATTCTAACGCCGCAAAAACATTCACCCTTGATATTTAGACAGTAAAAATAAATTATTCGCAAAATAAATATTTATGGAGCCTATTTTATACAACAGTCTAATTCGTACAACCTCGATGCCAACAAAAGCTCCAAGTGCCAGATACAAAGCATAATACGAACGAACGCTGATTCCCGATTGTGTATTCAAGGTCGAAGCCTTGACACATGCGAACGGCTAACCAAAAACGAGTTCACCATAATAAGTTAATAATGATAACATTCATAACATATGGCGGCAACGTGTTAATGAAATATTATTCGCAAAATCTTCAAATATATTTTTTCTTTTCTTAGTATTCTATTTTGATTAAAATAAAATGACGTATTTCGACCGAACTACCAGAAGATTTAAGATTCTAATTGCCATTGACGAGCTTTCAGCCAATCATTGAGCAGTTCACGGAGTCCCCAAAAATTATTCTGAAAAACTAAGTGACATCCCTAAAACAGAACTCCAAAAATATTCGACATGATATTAAGAAGATTCAACAATCTGTAGTCCAAAGTAAACTGTTTCACTATATACCGTACCGATATTGATTTCTATGCTGATCTATTCGTCCATGCCATGAATCTCTGATATTAAAATTACAATAATAACGCAGTAAACAAGCATAATAAAATTATAATATAATAGTTATGTTGTCAATGCGTAAGCACACTGTCATCGTGAACGGTATTTATTATGTGTAATTATGTTATTTAATATCGGATATACTCGTATATGTAGTGAATCAGTTTTTATTTGTCGTTGAAACATTGTGACCCAGTTGCTGTGATCCACTCTACATGCAAAATTTCATAATCTCTCATCAGTGATTATTATGAAATAGTGAGACACGGCCAGTCAGATTGGGCTATTATAAAATATGATATATCTTCATTTGTTGAAACTGCAAGAGTGTTAGTAATAGCATGTTGACGATACCGCGACCGAAACATTTATTTAAATACCTCCAACAACTGAATCAAGTGTAACCAGAACTGAATAATGTTTTGGAACATACAGAAGGGACAAACATATAACAACATTCATTTTTAGACCTGGGCTGAAGACTACAATAGGTCTGTCTACTTATTTGAGGATACGGTCAACCGATTTTGGTCATCATGAAATACTTTCCCATTATCCACCCGCAGTACCAATAATATATAGTTGTATTAATAAATTCCTAACTCATCATCATAGTCGGTTAGTCTTGGCAGAGCAGCCGTGGTCATGTGGAACCCATGATAGCTGTTCTCCATAATTCGCGAACTGAGGCTTGACTCACTTTATTTTTTATAGTTTTTCCTAACTACCGTTATCGTAAAGGCCTATCCCTAAATAAGTACAATATTTATAACTAACTCTTCTCCAAATCCTTTTCTTGATTACTCGTCGTACATCATGTTTTGTGAGCGCGATCGATGCCACTGTTTTGAGTATTTCTGCTGCAAATCAGGAAACTCCAGTCCAAATTGGAACATCAATGAAACTAATCTTAAAAATCGATTTTAATCTGTTCTCGATTATAATATCGAGCTGAAATTTTGAGAGTAGGTAGGTGCCATTTAGATGACGTTACAAAACTAGACGAGGTGGTTTGGTGTTGAATTTGGAAGGTGGCTTGTGTACTCCTCGATTACCTACGAGGAACTCATTCTTCTTAGTGTAATCTGAACGAGTACCATTCATAAATCGTGTCATTAATTTTTTGAAACTCCAATTCAAATTATTACTACCAGTGATAAGGGTCTTACATAGTATTTGAAAGTAATAACAACGTTAGTCAAGTGAACGGTGATGGCGAAACGAATTCTATCTATCCAAGTACTCAGAACTAGAACGCTGGCTATAATTTACAATCTAAAACTTTTCGATTTCGAACCAATCTAGCGACTATAAAAAAAACAAGCGTACCGTACAAATTCCAATGTATTTTTGGGTAACTATAAAAAAATCAAGATATTACTGGGAAATTACGAAAAACATTCGTAAGCTTATTGTGATAATGAGAAAATGTTTTTTTTTTTAATTTTTCAAAAGTAATTAATAATTTAAAGCTAACATTTTAAGTTTTAAGTATCTTATATCAAACTTTCAAAGAAATTAAAAACGACAAAGCTTTTCAATATAGCGGACATTGCTTCTATAAGTTTCAAAATATCTA